ACCCCTTCCCAAAAATAAGCTAGTATTTCAACATTGCTGATTTAGAAATTTGATTTTAACTATAAGCAAAGTTAAAATTGGTGTACTTAAACTAATGTACTACTAACATTTTTGGTCACAGTATCGGTACTTTAATCAGGGATATCATTCACATTTTTAACAATTATGCGGGGTATGTACAGGATGTTCTGGAAAAAAAAAAAAACTTTTAATATTTGTATCATTCACATTTTTAATAATTGTACAGAATGTTCCAAAAAGACCGCTTTGAATTTGTGTATTTTATAAATTCTTTGCCAATAAGTCAAAGTATACGCAAATTAATATTTAATTAATATTAAAATTAATATTAATCGAAGGCTACGAATTACTACTGAGGAAAAGATGGAATAAAAAATACCTGCTTGATTGCTGAAGGAAACTGGAAGAGGGTGATAATTCATGTTTTCATCTCGCCCCTTCCCTCTAGTGGAATTTGATAATCTTTTTATTTTTTCATTGCTTAAAGAAACATTAGCGATCCCTAATATGTTAACCATTTTTAAAGGATTCTAAAAAATTTAAAGTCATTTATGACTTAGCATTCTATATGCCTAGCTAGAGTCTACTTAACTTGGTAATACAAACTTAACTAACAAAGTTGATAACATAAATCATATTTTTGTATCGCATTCATTTGTCACTATAAACTGCCAAAGATATTGCCTCAAATTAAAATAATTACAATTGTCGAATTTCCTGCAAACCATATTTCTGAGAAGTTATGCAAATGGCTAGCTGAAAAACCAAATTGTTGTAAACAAACGATTTAGTGGTGTAAATTTCACGTCACAATAAACTGCCTAAGTTATTTAATTTAATTTTATTTCATAACCGTCGTTGAACAGCCGACCCAATTTTTTAGGTTTACGGAGCAAAACGTCAATATGGAGATAAGCCACAATTTCGTAAAAACTAAAAGCGTTTGTGATTTATTTATTTATTTTATTACTATTATTTTTTTCATATTTAGAAAGTTCTCTGTCTCTGTATTATCTGGACTCATAAAAATTTGCAAAAATTGAGAGGTATTTACTGAATTTAATAATTTTGTTCAAAGGGGAAAAAATCACGCTGAATTGGTAATTTTTAAAAACATTTAAGAACTTCTAAAATATTTAAGCTATTTGCCCGTTCTAAAGACGGTTTACATAGTTTAAAATGATAACTTTGTCTCAAGTGTTAAGGTATTTAAACTCTTCATTATTATTCTTCGAAAAACACTGCTAAATCATTATTATTGGAAGAGAGCTATCGCTATAACTTCAAATTTCTATTGACACATCAGACTAAGTTTTGAAAACTTAATTTAACAAAGTTCTATTATAACTTAATTTTAATCTGTTCTCTTAATCTTTAATTATAGCAGCTGTGACAATCAGTAAAATTATATCTTATCAACTTACCCTTTCATAACAAACAATAATTAATGTGATTTCAAAATAAATATTTACACCGTTACTCGATATCTATTCTACTGACTTTTGAGCCAAAAAGAAAAAAAAAAGTCTCAACATCCCTGTGTATACGTTCCCATGCGATGGCTTGATGACAGCCCTATTTCTCGTCGTCAACAAGTGTTGGCGATATTTTGTTTCACTGTAAGCGATAATAGAGATATGCCCTTCTTCGCTGTTCCGTCTCACATGTTTCTGTGAGTTAGTGTATAACAGTGCTGTCTGGAATTCGTATCTTACATTTGTAATTATTACGGGGATTACTTCTTGGCTGCGTTTTCATGACAATTGGTGACAAGTTAAGAAATGCGCAAGTTTCTTGGCGGAAGAATTTTAAATAACTGCCATCCTTTTGGTTGTTGTCTTCCATGCAAATTAATATGAGACTTTGATTAATATGAATAACGCACCGTTGACGAAGGGAGCAGCGGTTAATGAAATTTTTAAAACCGTCGAGAAAGTGAGTTGTGATGATGGTGATGGCGAAAACTCATCTTCGGCGGGATGCCGAGCTGAAATTAAAATTTCTCCTTTTAAGGTAAGAATTTCGCCAAAGCCTTCTGTTTTAGCCTTTACATATTTATGGAGTTTCAGCTTTCTTTGAATAGTTACGCGGTTTAATAATTTATTCAAAACCTTTCTCTGAAGAAAAAAATATTTGAAAGGCTTAGTTATACATTATATTTTGAGGAATTAATCTTAATGCGATGTATTTACTTGAGGTAGCGATGTTGTTACTACTTTTAGATAAATTCACTGTTTGAATTTAAATAAAGTTTTCATTTTCAACTGCGGAATTATAAGTCTTTTTTTGGAAACATGTTGCTAAAGGAGGATCTGTAACTAGCAAAATTGTTAAACATTTATTTGAATCAGTGTAAATAAATAATATGAAGCGTTGTATGCAGTGTAAGTAAATAATTTAAAGTGTAGGGCGAACCCCTTAATTATTTAAAAATAAATAATACAGGAGTCATTTTTAAAAGAAAAATTGCGTTTTGTGATTAATAAATCAAAAAAATGTGGATGTTATATAGATTTTCAAAAAAAAAAAAATAATAATAATAAATAAATAAATAAAGCATGTAAGCTAAAAGCATTTCGCAAAAATAGTATTTCTTTCATTTTTCAAACCTATTACAGTTTTGTCAGTACCTGAAAAAAATTAAAAACTGGTATCAATTAAACTGGTAAAAATTTCCTATTATTAGCTTCCATTTTCGAATCAAAGTTCGAATTCTTCGGATCTACATATATTTACTCAGAGAAAATAAAATAGTCTGGTAGCTTCAAACATTATCTATATAAAAAAAATTATATTAATACTACTACCACTTTTTAATTTTTTACATGTGCTTATGAACCCTGGATTAAGTCAAATGTAACCTTTTTGCAAGTTACCAAGTCAATAACTTAACTGATTTTTAAAAATTTAAATTTCGATCAGAAATTATTTTAAGTTTTAATTTGGTTTTATTTATTTGTTCAATTTTCGCAAGGAAATTGATTTTTGCTTTTATCTTCTTTTGGAAAATAACTTTTTAATAATTTCCAAAACGGGGAAACGTGTCAAATCAGAACTTTGTCAGCAGAGAATAATTATTGAGGTCGAAGAAATTTTTGCAGCAGTATATTGATTAGTAGTTGTTTCTTATGATGGTTTTTCCACAATTTAACCCTAGATAACCTTCGTTTTATAAACTGCCGATGTTTGTCAGTTTTGCGAATTCAGATATTCCCGTTGCTCTCACAATATCTCAGTCACAGTACTTTCATAACTAGTAAAATGAGTCATCCGGAAAGGTGAAAGCTGTACACTTGTTACTTTGTCGAGATCTGTTGTAATCGTCGTTTAACAGTCGAATGTTTAGTTAATAAATATTGAAAAGAAATTCAAAATAATTTTGAATATTGAAAAGACCACAGAAAACACGACTTTAGAATAAACGCAGAATATGTACTCCTTTGTCTCTGAAAGAAACACGAAATGACATGCTACTATGCAACAACATCCAAGAGCGCAAATGATAATTTTTTCCCATATTCCGATTTTTTACTCGAAATGGTTTTAATACTTTAAGTTACGGTAATTTGTTTGAAATAAATAAATAAATGATAAGAAATTTATTTCGTTTTTGGTTCGTCAAATGATTAGTTACAGATAACACTGATTAATGTTTAGTTTCCACGGTCAAAAATGTTTTTACAAATACATCTTTTAAAATTTATATTTTTAACTGTTATAATACAAAGCGTAATTTTGAATAAATTGTATGATACTCTAATCGTAAGTGATGTACTAATGTATGACTCTAACGTATACTTTAAAATTTTATGCAAATATATTTTGAGAAAGTTTATAATACGAAATGTCATTCTATAATGTATTTATCTCTAATCGTTCATAAATAATTGGAAATGAATATTTACTGAGTAATGTTGTTCTGTTAAAAAAGTAATTTCGTTTTTTTCTCTTTTTTTAAAAAAAAAATGAAAATAATGAGACAATTTTATAACGAATAAATATTTTATTGAATCATACATTTTGCCTTCTTTCTGGCAAAAGCATGATTCTATGATTCACATCGGATAATTTATTTTCCTGTTGGAACAGCCTTTTTACCTTTTCGATAGTAAAAATGTAAACTATGTCGAAAATTTTGCTATTTCACTTTCCATATTTGAAAGAGCACAAACGTAAAACTTCGTCGTAAAATCAGTCAAACTTTTTCGCCAGCAAGCCTTGCTATAGCAGCTGTCAAAATGATTACATAAATGATTTTGCGCTTAAGTGTGAAATTGGCTGTCAAAAAATATATTTATGAGGAAAAATGAATTTACTTTCCGAACAATCGAATAATATTAGTGTTTTTCAATGATTTGTTAAAAATTTTAATCGATAATAGATCTGAATCAGAAAAGTACAGAGTTGGAGCTCGAATCAGAGTCAAACTTACTCCTAATACAAGTGATAAATTCGATATTTTCTTATTCGATGACTATTTTAATTCTCATTACATTTTGAAAAGAACTTATAAATAAAAGAAATGAAGTTTGAAGAAAAAAGATTAATTAAAATTATTTTGTTCCGTTTTGTAACAACAATTAAAAGTTTTTTTTGTGCCAAGTTATTTTACATTTTTGAATAATTTTAGGAAATTTAAGAAGTTTCCGTTCGAAAAGAAATTTTCTTGACATCATAAAAAGAATTGTTATCGCAGCATCAGAAATTGCTTTTTTAAAAGGAGGATCTTACAAAAGAGTTATAAAGTTGTGTTATTAACGGTATTAACAAAGAAATGATTGTTTATCTTAACTTCATCTCTAAGATATTAAAATGATTTTTCTTTCAACACAGTTTTGAAATAATCTTTTTTCCCCCTCCCTCCTTTCATTTAATTTGCTTCGGATTTAATGAGATTTACTTTGAATGAGTTTTGAAAATTTTTATTATTAATATATGTGTAAATCCATAATTTATTGTAATTAATTTTTTAATTACAGGGAGCGGAACGAGAATGCTGGGAATTCCACAACGTCGTTCTTACAAGGGTGAGTTTTTTTTTTTTACTTAGAATTAATTTTTGTTCCTGAAATGTTTTTGAAAAGATTTCGCTGTAAAAAGAAATGGGGTTTTCTTTTTTAACGTTTACATAGTTAATTTTTTTTTTATTTAAATAATTATTTTTATTCTTAAAGAACCTCAGTAAATATTTCTTTTTTACATTGAAGTATATTTTCTCTTTTTATTGAATCTAAATATTTCTTTTAAGGCTATAAAATAGAATAAACGAAATTGAATGACTTCAAAAATTAAATTATTCTTGTCGTTGCTTTTTCTTTGAATGGATCATAAATGGGTTTTGACCGTTTAGCAAACTTTTTCAACTCTTTATTACATTAAAATTTGTATTGATTAATGTATCGCTCATGGGCTGCAATAGTGACACAACTCAAAAAGCACGCGTTTTGGACTAAGAACACGTGTAAATATGAAAATGTACATTCTTTCAGCAACTCATAATTCAACTTGTAGGTAATCTTCAAACTAAAGCATTTTGCTTAGACTTAAACTTAACTCCCACTTATCTCAAAACTTGATTTTTTTTGAGTTGTGCCGCTATTGCAGCCCATGAGCTATATATATTAAAACAAAAAGATATAAATAATAAAAATGTAATAAAAAGTGTTGTAACCCATCAGCAGCCAACAACATTAATACATACCTTAAAACGAAAATAGTGTCTGACTTCGTTATAGCAGCGTGTCGAACAGCAAAGGCTATAGGCCATGTTGCTATTGACTGGACACTACTCTAACAATAACATGAGAACTCAAAGATTTTTTTAATGCATTGTCAATGCAAAACCCAATTCGATCCGAGTTCACATTCACAAATACCACCACAGCCACAGCCATCTTTCCAAATTATCTGGTTGAAGATGGTGCTTCATAAATGAATATAAGTGACGGTTACAGTTTAGGCATTCGTGGGCAGCGTAAATCTCAAAAAGTAAATTTAAACTTAAAATTTAAATTGTGCCAAAAGGTGATTGACAAAATTAATTGGAAAGTTATTCCAAAAGAATTTAGCTTTGAAATTTTCAACTTCTAACTCAAAGTTGGTTTTGTTTATTCTTTTAAATCTGATCATTTGAGAAATAATAATACCTCTGAGCACCTTGATACTAACTAAACAGAAATAGTTCTGTAGACTGAGTACCTCAAATTTGAAGTCTTTGCTTTTATCGTATACAGAGATTGTGGGTTTGTGTAGCCCAATGCTACACGTAAATCTTAAAAGTTTACTGCAATATCATCTGCATTAGTTTTAACAAGATTTAAGCAATTTGAATAAATTGAATGATGTAAGCTTTGAAATTCAGGAAAATTAATCCATCAATATATCTGCAACTTAACTTGTGATATATCTCGTTATATAGTTGTTTTTCATAGTAAATTATAAATAGGTTGGCCATAGTTGAGCTTAAATTGGCTGCCATGGAAATACCATTAATTTGCCCTGTGGTGGAATTTTTTATGATTATAATTGTAAATGTACATAGTATCGATCAAGCGTTCGTATTTATATTTATAGACGGAGTTGTAGTTAGCCTCTCTAAAAGAAATGAGTTTTTTTTTTTTTAATGTCCACTAGCCCACTTGTGTTTTTATTAAAAACTTGGGTTTAACCGAGTCTTTGAGGAAAAATCAAAGCTTTTAGCGTTAAAATTTATCTTTATTCCTGAGGTCTTTAAGGAGATGACATGACAGGATTTGCTTCGAACATAAAAGTTAAGTATTTGGTAACTATTCGAAACTTGTTTTGCTAAAATGTAATAATTTTTTTGGAAGATTCTAAATTTCTACGCTATTATTTTCTTTTTTTCTTAACGTCAAACTGTTTGTTACATAAAAAAAAATATTAAAGTTTTTTCAATTAAAAGATCAAGATCATTTTTTATTACGCTCACACAGGTTCAATTCCAGAGGTTAATTTCTATAAAATTGTGTATCACGTTTATCTTCAATTGTTTGGTAGTCTTTGTTTAAATGACAATTTGTTTACTATTATTTTGCTTTTGAAGTAAATTAATTGCTCTAGTACAGTAAATTAAAAAAAAAAAAAAAAACAGTTGGTATTTTTTCCTGCTGGACACATTTTGGCGAACCCTGATAAAAAATAATGATTTAATAGAAAATTTTGGTTATTAAATGCGTTTTTTCGATCTAATTTCAACGAATTTTTTGTATCATTGATAATTTTTTATTAAAATAATTTGCATGTCATGTGCTTCTTTATTTATAAGCACATTTCTGTATCCGCCGAATTAGTTAGCCTGTCGCTCGCAATTAGCAGTTATCACGAGTCCAACAAATTCTATAAAAGAAACAAAACGCAACTAGAAGTTAGTTTATTGCGAACGAGGCAAATGTTATCTGACATATAAAGTGCTGAGTAAAAAACAGAGTGGCTTTGATCTGCTCGATGTTCTAGTACTTTCCGGAACAATAATTATCCTTTACTTCTTCCTGGCAATGTTTTGCGATGCGTAAGATTAAAATACTGTTATGTATATCCGAAATATACTAACTGGCACTGGCTAGAATTTAGTTTTCTAATTATTTAATGTTTAAATTTTTAGCTACAAATATTTTAGTTTTATAACTGGAAAAGAAAGAAAAATGAAGCGTAGCCGAGAAAATTAATTTAATAATCATCTTTACTGTGTTTGCTTTACGTTGATGTTGTTTACGCGAGTTTCTCGGAAAATAAAAGAAATAAAATTAGTATATACAGTATAGAAAAATATTAATGCAATTCCATTAATAATTTAAAAATGTTGAGATAAAAAATGCTGTTAATTTGTTTCAAATTCTTAAGACAATTTTGATAGCTGATAAATTTGAACTTTTTGCTTATTTTTGTAATTTAAAGTTGTATAAGATTTCTGAAATTACTTCGAATAAATAATTTGGCTTAAATTTACTGCTTTTAAAGAGTTTCGCCAAGGAACATGATGATAAAAATTTTCCTTTTTAGCACGTCATATATTGCCTCTCCATTTAAAATTTTATGAAATAAAGAACTAGCTTTTTACTATTAAAATGCTTTTAAAGCAAACGATTTAAAAAGTCACTCACGAAAAGTGCTGAATCAGAAATATGCTACTAAAGCTTCCATTTATAGTCTGCTTTTATCAATCTTTTTGCATCATAAATATAAATGAAGTCTCACCGGCGTCGAAAAATTAGCATAATTTTAGGAAAGAAAAAAAAAAAAACGAACTTGGAAAGGTAAGAAAATCTCTGCATAAAAGAGCTTCAATAATCTCTCGAACATCAATTATTGTAGCGTTGAGTTGTTTTTTCTCTTTCTTTTCAATCGTTTGCGCTTTTAGCGAAAAGCAAATATTCAGGTTAATGATCGTTAGCTGCCCGTTATTCTAAAGTTAAAACTAGTTTAGATAAACGGGGGGAAAAAAATAACCTTTATAATTTTAGCAACTGCGTAAGCGAATTTTATTTTTATTGCAATCACTTAATTTGACTGTCGAAAATTTAAAGGGTTTGATACGCATGATCAAAAAGCACTATAACAAGTTAAAGAAAATAATAGAAAAGTTTCATTTTAATGACTTTAACTACATTAAAATAATGGTGAGCCATTAATGGCGAAATAATGGAGAATATCTTGCCTCCTTTCTAATAATTATGGAAATTTTTATTCTTCTATATTTTTGGTTCATATCTTTAAACTTCTAAGAATTTTAGAATGTGCATTTATTAATTTTTGTAATCACTTCTCTTAAAGCTAAAAGAGAAACAACATTATTATAAGGGAATATTTAAAATATATGAAGAAATTGTATGGTTTGTTATTTTAAATAATAGAGTAGATATTTTGTTAGATATTAGACAGAACCTTTTTATTCTTAAACCTACTATACCTGTTTAAACCTATTATTCTCTCTGTTTTGCTATTTATTCCTTAAAAAATATAATACATTATATGTTTAGGCTTTTGTTTCTCTACATTAAAAAATTGTAAGAGCCGCTGCTTTGAATGTTCAACTTTACATTACATTTTATTTTGCTGCGCAAAAACTAAGATTTGGAAGCTTGAAATTTTGCAGGTGTGTGGAAAAATGTGTAGGGCAAACGATGCGAAAAAAAATTAACATTCGATAATTAGTACGTGAATTACCGACAGTTAAATTTGTTGGCCCCTCTCCTGCCAACAGAAATGCAGTTACAGAGTTGAAATTGAAGTGCTATTTCATTTAAAAATTAAATCGAATTTCTAATTTAAACAAATGATCCAGTACCAATTAGTTTGTTGAAAGTTATTTTAATTTTAAATGCTTTTTTTGTGAATTTTTATTATATTTTTTGTTTTAAATGTTGACTATTTGTCTTGTTTTGATCTCTTATGAGACCTTTATTTTTTTAAGCTCGTGCTGCTTGATTCTATGTCGATTGTATAAAAAATAATAGTTGTTTCCAGATGCAAATCTTATCATTTGTGTTGAAATTCTTTAAAATACAGAAAATTATGTCATGAAGGAAAAACCTGTTTACGATTTTGAACTCTCATAATGATGATACAAGTCTTTTAATAGGGGTCGGGATAGCCTGGTTGGCAGGGCGCTGGACTTATGTTCGTGAAAACGGGAGTTGGAATCCAGCCGACTGAAGACTCCCCTTGTAGTAAATGGTAACAGTTAATTTTGTCGGGTCACAAAGTCCTAAACGTTCCCAAAACAAATTATACCTCTGGGGGGGTACTGAATTGGAGATTGATTGTTCTCTGATTCAGGTCAAAATTACGATCTGTTGATGAATGAATGCCTCCGCTCTATAAATTGGTGTGATGTATGGGTGTGGCGGAAGTTGACTTCTTGGCCAGAGATGGCACCACTGGAAAACAGGAACAATCGCACCATATTGTCCTAATGGCCTACGTCACCAACAAGTCCCTTTATTAGTAAAATTACTTATTATTCATTTCTATTTATTGTGTGTCAGATTCTGTATTTCTAAGTTTAAAT